TCCAATTATGTGGTCAATTTTAGAGTAGGTGTGATGTGGTGCTGAGAAGAATGTATATTCTGTGGATTTGGGGTGGAGAGTTCTGTAAATGTCTATTAGGTTTGCTTCTTTCAGGTCTGAGTTCAAGTCCTGGATATCCTTCTTAATTTTCTGTCTGGTTAATCTGTCTAATATTGACAGTAGAGTGTTAAAGTCTCCCACTATTATTGTGTGGGAGTCTAAGTCTCTTTGTAAGTCATTAAGAACTTGCCTTATATATCTGGGTGCTCCTATATTGGGTCCATATATGTTTAGAATCATTAGCTCTTCTTGTTGCATTGATCCTTTTACCATTATGTAATGTCCTTCTTTGTCTCTTTTGATTTTTGTTGCTTTAAAGTCTGTTTTATCAGAGACAAGAAGTGCAACTCTCGTTGCTTTTTTTTGTTCTCCATTTGCTTGGTAAATCTTCCTCCATCCCTTTATTTTGAGCCTTTATGTATCTTTGCATGTGAGATGGGTTTTCTAGATACAGCACACCGATGGGTTTTGGCGTTTTATCCAATTTGCCAGTCTGTGTCTTTTGATTGGTGCATTTAGTCCATTTACATTTAGGGTTAATAGTGTTATGTGTGAATTTGATACTGCCATTTTGATGCTAGCTGGCTGTTTTGCCTGTTAGTTGATGCAGATTCTTCATTTTGTTGATGCTGTTTAGCATTTGGTATGTTTTTGGAGTGGCTGGTACTGGTTGTTCCTTTCTATGTGTAGTGCCTCTTTCAGGAGCTCTTGCAAAGCAGGCCTGGTGATGACAAAATCTCTGAGTACTTGCTTGTTCGCAAAGGATTTTATTTTTCCTTCACTTATGAAGCTTAGTTTGGCTGGATATGAAATTCTGGGTTGAAAGAAAGTTCTTTTCTTTAAGGATGTTGAATATTGACTCTCTTCTGGCTTGTAGGGTTTCTGCTGAGAGATCTGCTGTGAGTCTGATGGGCTTCCCTTTGTGGGTAACCTGACCTTTTTCTCTGGCTGCCCATAGCATTTTCTCCTTCATTTCAACCCTGGTGAATCTGACGATTATGTGCCTTGGGGTTGCTCTTCTTGAGGAGAATCTTTGTGGTGTTCTCTGTATTTTCTAGATTTGAATATTGACCTGCCTTGCTATGTTGGGCAAGTTTTCCTGGATAATATCCTGAAGACTATCCTGGATTCATTCTCTTCCTCACATTCAGGTACACCTATCAAATGTACATTAGGTCTCTTCACATAAGAGAGACTTTGGTCATTCCTTTTTGTGCTTTTTTCTCTAATCTTGCCTTCTCGTTTTATTTCATTGAGTTGATCTTCTACCTCTGATATCCTTTCTTCTGCTTGGTCAATTTGGCTGTTGAAACTTGTACATGCTTCGTGAAGTTCTCATGTTATGTTTTTCAGCTCCATCAATTCACTCATATTCCTCTTTTAGTTGTCCATTCTTCTTATCATTTCCTCAAATCTTTTTTCAAGGTTCTTAGTTTCTTTGCATTGAGTTAGAACATGTTCTTTTAGCTCACGGAGGTTTCTCATTACCCACCTTCTAAAGTCTGATTCCGTCATTTCATCACACTCATTCTCCATCCAGCTTTGTTCTCTTGCTGGTGAGGAGTTGTGATCCCTTGTAGGAGGCAAGTTGTTCTGGTTTTGGGTGTTTTCCTCCTTTTTGTGCTGGTTTCTTCCCATCTTTGTGGATTTATTCACCTGTTGTCTGTGTAGTTGCTGATTTTCAGATTGGGTCTCTGAGTGGACGTCCAGATTGTTGATGATGAAGTTATTTCTGAATCTTCGTTTTCCTTCTAACAGTCTGGCCCCTCTGCTTTAGGACTGCTGAGGTCCACTCCAGGCCCTGCTTGCCTGGGGATCACCTGCAGCAGCTGCAGAACAGTAAGGGTTGCTACCAGTTTCTTCTTCTGCTATCTTTGTCCCAGAATGATGTCCGCCAAATGTCAGTCTGATCAGTCCTTTGTGAGATGACTCTTTGGATATACAGGGGTCAAGGAGCTGCTTTAGGAGACAGTCTGTTCTTTATAGGTGCTCAAGTGCTGAGCTGTGAGCTCCTTTGTTCATTCAGAGCTGCTAGGCGGTACATTTAAGTCTGCTGCGGCAGAACTCATAAACCCCCTCTTTTTCCCCAGGTGCTCTGTCCCAGGGAGTTAGGGCTTTTTTTATGGGTATCCGTTGCATTGCTGCCTTTTTTTTTTTTTTTTCTCTTCAGGGCTGCTCTGCCCAGCAAGGAGACAGCGTAGTCACTGCCTGCTGAGGCTTTGCTTAGCTGCTGTGGGTTTCACCCTGCTGCTGGCTCCGCCCTGCTGCCGTGTGTATTTCCCTGCAGTCCTGTTTATATGGGTGTGGTTAGAACTGCCTTGGCAATGTTGGCCCGCCTCTGTAATGGCGGACTCTCTTTTTATGGCGGGTTGCCTTGGCAATGACAGGCTGTGTCAGCAATGGCAGACTACCTCCGTAGGGGTGGAGTGCCTCAGTAATGGCGGATGCCCCTCCCCCACAGAGCTGGGCCATCCTGGTTTTAGCTGTGCTTGCTGTGAAACTCTCAACCCTGAGTGTTTCCACCTGCTGTTTGTTTTTGTGGGCGTGGGACCCGCCAAGCCTGATCACCTGGCTCCCTACCTCAGAGCCCTTTTTTTTTTTAAGTTGAATGGTTGACTCTCTCCCAGGTGTTTCAGTCACCTGCTGAAAGGGCGCTGGGATCTGTGTGATTTCCTGTGCAGCTACCCACTGTGCCGGCTGAAACAATGTGGCTGTCCGGGAATCTCCTGGCCTGGCTTTATGTTTTATGTTTCAGTACCGTTTAAACAGATGAATCGGCTAATCTGCCTTCCTGAATCTCCAATGGCCAGTTTAACAGGGCAGTCAGACCAGTGAATTTTGTACAGAGAGCCGCTGTGCTGCAGCGCCAGCCGAAACAGCCGCGCTGGCCGAAACAGCCGCGCTGGCCAAAACAGCCGCACTGGTGACCCGTGCGGCTCCTCCACCTGGGAATCTCCTGGTCTGTGGGCAATAAAGATCCGTCTGGAAATGTGGCCTCCACTCACCCTCTGCACTTTCACTGGCAGCTGCAATCCTGAGCTGCTCCTGCAACACCATCTTCCCGATCATACCCGTGAGTATGCTCATGAAAATATTTTCTAAATACATTAACTGAGACCCCTCTGGAGAGGTTCTTAAAGTTGATTTCTGTTGTGTTTCATTTTTTAACTTTTTACCCTTGAAGTAGCCAAAATGAGAAGTTGAAAACTTTTTCTCTTGAAAAAAGAGAAAGGTCTGTCTTTACAGATATTTTAATTGGTGAAATCATCTTCTAAGAAGCTAAACCAATTTCAGTTTTCCTTGTAATTTAGAGTTCTCTTGACTTTCTCTCAGCTTCAGCTGAAGATTCTCTCTGGACATTGTAAATGGAGCTGGCTCTCTCAGGGGCTTCCATAGAAATGGTGCTAAAAGGAATTGAGCAATCTTCAGCCAGGAGAACTCTCACTGATTTTATTCCTTTCCACTCTGGGTAAGATTACATTAAAAAAAGGGATTCTGCAGCTATTGAAAAAGAAATGAAACCCACTGTACTGTATTTTACAAGACTGTACAATTGATGAGTCTCTTGAAAGACTCCGGCATCACAGCCAGGAATGAAGTGAGAAACTGGCAGTCAGTAATCCTGTCTTCTATCCCTAGTTCTTTCATTGATGTGCTATGTGAAATAACTTAATTTCTCTATGTTCTTTTGATGTCTTCCCAAATAGAGATAAACATTTACCTTTGGGCCTGGCATGGTGGCTTATGACTGTAATTCCAGCACTTTGGGAAGTCAAGGTGGGGAGATCACTTGAGCCTAGAAATTCAAGACAAGGGCAACATGGGGAAACCCTATTTCTACAAAAAATACAAAAGCCAGGCATAGGTGATAAGTGTCTATAGTCTCAGCTACATGGGTGGCTGAGGTGGGAGGATTGCCTTAGCCTGGGAGGTCGAGGCTGAAGAGAGCTGTGATCATGTCATTGCACCCCAGCTTGGACAACAGAGTGAGCACCTTCCTCAAAAAAAAAAATTACCTTTAAATGAAAGTTTTGAAACACCTGGACAGAATGAATTGCTCCTCCTCTTTATAATATTATATTTCTACATATTGTTATATTTCTGTAACATGTATTACACAATTAGGTCATTGGCCTCCTCCACTAGACAGCGAATTCCCTGAGGACCAAGGTCCCCACCTTCTCGTGTTTGTAGCATCTGGGCCGCAGAGTGCCAGGCACACTGTGGAGTTAGTAGGCATTTCCAAAATGGTGACAGGGCTTTCCTTGAGCACAGTTTGTGAGTCTGTTTTCCACGGGTCTTGGTTTGACTAGTGCTTCCTCTCTTTGTTTGGTTGAAGGCCCTCTTCAGATCCTCCTTCCTGGAGCGTTGGAGGACTTAGTCCTGTCCTTTCTGTGAAAGAGAAAGAGCGCCTCAACACTAATAAGCTGGAGTGCTGAAACAGTGTGGGGACAGGTGGGCAGATTGCTGTGACTGTAACATCATGCAATTGTTTTCTGCCTGAACCTCAGATTCCTCCTAACCAGAGAAACTCAGGAGGCATGATAATTATTTCTGCCATTTTCCAGGTCTGGCTTACTAAAGCAGAATTACATTATGTAATTATGTCTAATGATAATATGATACTAGAATATTTGGACAATCAAGGAAAAAAAAGACCTTTAACCCTACCCCTCTAACCCAACTATTTTCTTTTTTCCTTATTCCCTTTCAATATTATCTACATAGATATTAGTGCTACATCGTTTGTACATTTTTTGTTTTACCTAACATCATATAAACAGAAGTTTTCCATATCATACACACTCTTGTTTTAAATCCTCAGTGTTAACAGGTACACTTGCCAGCAGGCAGATAAAACTGTGGTTTAAATAGCCTCTTAATGTGCCATTTTAAACATCAAATCTGTAATAGCTAAACCTAGTTTGCCATTGTTTCAGGAAATAACAGCTAAAACGAAGATAGAGATGTATCAAAACATGGATGACGAAATGAAGAGAGAACACTTGGCTGTGGAACAGCGCATGGTCCACAGAATCCAAAGGATTATGATGGAATGCCACAGAGAGAAGGTCGAAGCTGTGGAGAAAGCCAGGGCTGAAGAAAGACTCATTGCCCAGGAAGCAATCCAGGCCCAGAAAAGGTATTCCAGAGAACCCATTTGCAAATTAATATCTTCCTTTATCAAAATCAACCTGGAGAAACAGATAAGGTTATGATACATAGGTGGATATTGCCCAGTTTTTGTGTTTTTACATTTTTATTATGGAAAATACCAAATATAGGGAACAATTTATATTGTAGAGTATGTGTGTGGCTTAGGCTGAGGTGGGTGGATCACCTGAGGTCAGGAGTTCGAGACCAGCCTAGCCAACATGGTGAAACATTGTCTCTACTAAAACTACAAAAATTAGCCAGGTGTGGCGGGCACCTGTAATCCCAGCTACTCAGGAGGCTGAGGCAGGAGAATCACTTGAACCCAGGAGGCAGAGGTTGCAGTGAGCCAAGATCGTGCCACTGTACTCCAGCCTAGGTGACAAGAGCAAGACTCCTTCTAAAAAATAATAATAATAATAATAACAACAATAACATAAATACTCAAAAAGCTACCACCCAGTTTAAGGGATTGAAAATTGCCAACATTTCTGAAGCTCTCTTGTGTTCTTCCTTAATCATATCTTCTTCTTTTCTCCCCCTTGAAAGATAGCTACTCTCTAAATAGGGTATTTTTCATTCTGTGTCACCGGTTTTAAGAAGCCAAGGAGAGGAATCAAGAAACAGGTTCCCATAAACAGGTCATTAAAATCAGTTTTCACATTCTCTAGCCTAGATCATATACTATTCTGTTTTTGTTACTTTTTGGTCTTTTTCTTATTATGCAAGTAATGTATGTTGCAAAAGAAGTTGACGTTATGGAAACGTATAGAGCAAAAATTGCAAGTCTTTATCCACTGCTTCCCCTATACCCTTCCTGCCTCCCAGGGACAGTTATTTCAAACAATAGGGTCTGTATCTTTCCATGCCCTTTTGATGTTTTTACAGCCATATGTATGTGCATAATCACAAATCATTTTTACACAAATCAGCTCATACATAGATATATTTTAAGAGAACCAAGATAACTATTTCTATATATTTAATGATTCTTTATGGGAACAGGACAATAGTTAGGAGCCCAGGGATTGTCAGGTGCAAGAGAAAAACCATAATTTCCAGATTTTTTACCAGGTCATTTACCTATCCAAGATCACTGATTTGTAGCAGCAGAGCTGAGACTGAGACCTCCCTATTTGGCCTTCTAGTCTGTGACTGGTCGCTTTTGCTTTGCTGCTTAAGTTAATAAATGAAGCCGTTTCTATATGATTAATGGGTAAAATCTTTTTCATTAGAACTCTTCAGAATAGGGTCATAGGTAAGATCCTGAAGGAGGTACAAATGAATGAGAATGAGAGCTACAGCTGTGACTACTTAACTGGTACCTCTCTTCCTGCATAGACTACAGGTCATTGTAGAGGTAGAAGAGGAATATCAGAGAGGGGATACCAGGAGGGAGTTAAGGAATGAGTTGTGCCCTAATGCAGTGGAAGGTGGACCTTCTTTTCCTTTCTCTCCTGCCAGCCATCTGCCGGAGCTCTGCCCCACCTGTGGAAGCCTCTGGATCCCCTTCTCACACACACTTGTGGGCTCCTCTCTCTCTTGCTAGATTGTTTTTGCATCCCATCCAGCCCTTTCCTCTGTGAGATTTGATGGAAGGTTTTCAATGTCTGCCTTTTATAGAATCCGTAGACTAGGATTAAGGAAATGCCATGTGTAGTGTTCAAATATATCCAGCTAGAATGCCCATTTTGCCTATTTATGTTTCCCAAGTGCCTGGAAGAAAGTCTGGCACATGGTAGGCATTCTTGAAATATTTATTGAATAAATGATTTAAATTTGTTCCAATTAGTTGAACCCACTCGTCACACATCAGATTGTATTTCTAGACACTACTAGATTCCTCTGTTCTTTAGAGAATTTGCAGAAACTAATACATGGAGAGAGACCAGTGTTGAGAATTCTAGGCAGATCTTTTGTTTTACCATAAACTTTCATGAAGACTTAAGGATTCATAACACTTAAATATTATGAGAAATTTGTTAACTACATAGAAAACTTTTTTTGTGGATTTAGGTGATTAGATTCTAAACAGATTGCCCAAGAGACAGTGGACTCTTAAAGTTGAAAAAAAAAAAAAAAAATCTCTGTTTGTAAAGGTTCTAATTGTTTTCTAGCCCAAGGCAAGTCATGAATGAAGTGACCACTCAGGAATTTTTGTGGTCATGGCTGTAATTCCTAGTGACAGCTGCCCTTGCTCAATACCCAGCACATGCAAGGCCTTTTGTATACTTCTCTTGCATCTGCATATCTTTTCCTAGGAGACTCTATCATCCTACGTATCTTCAGGCTAAGACCCTGGAGGGTTAAGGCCTTAAAGGGAAACTAAGCAAACTGCCAAAGGTCACAGAGGAAGGAGGTGACAGGGCCTGAATTGAAACCTGGCCTTTTTGATGCCAAAGCTTGTGACCTTCCATTAAGCTGCCTACTCTGTAGGTAGAGAAGATATGAATTTTCTAGAGGATTTGTTCACTTCACTAGAGCTTATCAAGTACCGTCTGTGGATGTGGCACAAAATAGGGCCCTTCCTCAACATTGTGAAATCACTAGAACATGGCTGCCCCCAAAAAGCAAGTCTGGATGGACTGGTACAGATAGCACGCAAGTGCTGGAAGAGTTCAAAGTCCTGGAAAGATTAAGCAGTGTGTGTGGGGTACATAGTGAAGCAGGTTTTTTGGAGGAAGTTAGTCTTAGGTTGGGCTTTAAAGAGAAAAGGTAGGAGGTCCCACTTGTGAGAGAGGCAAAAGAATGAGAACAGAATGAGCAAAGACATGGAAGGAGAAAGTGTGATGTATAATGAGGCAGAGCCAAGGAGAGGTTCAAGAGTGTTAATAACCTGGGGATACAAATGCGCAGCTGAATGCTGGCATCTGGAGATGTCCCTGACCTGCCTAACTTCCGAAATGCCTGCAGCCTCCCGCCAGACCAGAGAGCCAGGAGTTCCCTATGTCCCAGGCAAAAAATCAGAATATAGGTTACTGGTAACACAATGGTTGCACCTCACTGAAATAGTGCTACCAATGCTATAGTTCTAATGAAAAGTAGATTAGGCTGGGTGTGGTGGCTCATATTTGTAATCTCAGCATTTTGGGAGGCCAAGGCGGGTGGATCACGAGATCAAGAGATTGAGACCATCCTGGCCAACATGGTGAAACCCCGTCTCTACTAAAAATATAAAAATTAGCTGGGAGTGGTGGTGGGTACCTGCAATCCCAGCTACTTGGGAGGCTGAGGCAGGAGAATTGCTTGAACCTGGGAGGCAGAGTTTGCAGTGAGCCGAGATTGTGCCACTGCACTCCAGCCTGGCAGCAGAATGAGACTTTGTCTAAAAAAAAAAAGAAAGAAAGAAAGAAAGAAAGAAAAGTAGATTAATAGCTTATTATGGACTAAACAGACAAATGATCAATCGCTAGTATGGATTTTCCATGGTTTATTTTTTTCCCTATCAGTTAAGATTGAGTTATTGGATATCAGATTATGTTTTTATTTAGTAACGTGTTTTCATTCTCCAAGAGTCTGCTTTATAAAATATCAGGCTGAATCTTATAAATTTGGACACGTACTACAACTATTTTGAAAATAGTTTCTCGCTAGTGCCACCCTGAAATATGGTGTGTATTTCAAAATTACAAATGTACAGCCTCATAGAGATGGCAGGAGAACCTCACTGCTTACAGAAAGCATAGACATTCACTTCACATTGGAACGGGCGTTGGGGGTTATGGAGCTGGACTTGCCATTCCTTCTGCTAGATGCCAGCCAGTCATTGGTGAGCTTCCCTGATGTCGCTTGTTGAGGTGGTTGGGCCAAACACTGAACACCTCTACTTGTCATATTCTTCCTAATGTGGATCCAGAAACTCTGGACCTCACCTTTTCCCTTGGCTTCTGGCCCTGCCCCTCCTCTGTACACCGTGATCCTTCAAATGTTTGAGGAGAGAGATGATGTCCAAGATTTAATTTAAAGAAAGGAAAGAAAAACCAAAAAGTACGAATTCCTAGTTCTTTCACAGTTCTTTCTCATTTGATAAGCTTTCTACACCCTCTTTGGGAAAAAAATACAGGTAGACTAATTTATGTACATTGAAAAACATTTTATACATATCCCAAGAATTGGCTATTTTCCTATGGCAAACATTTTGCTTATGTTAAGAATCCTTTTTAAGCATGAATTCTTTTTTTCTTTTTTTTTGAGCGTCTTGCTTTGTTGCCTAGGCTGGAGTGAAGTGGTGTGAACTCAGCTCACTGCAACCTCCGCCTCCCAGGTTCAAGCAATTTTCCTGCCTCAGCCTCCTGAGTACTGGAATTACAGGCACTTGCCACCATGCCCAGCCACTCTGTTTTATTTTTAGTAGAGATGGGGCTTTGCCATGTTGGCCAGGCTGGTCTTGAACTCCTGATCTCAAGTGATCCACTTACTTCTGCCTCCCAAAGTGCTGGGATTATAGGTGTGAATTACCGTGCCTGGCCTCAAGAATTCTTTTAAGCTTTTGTAATGTTCCAATTTAGCTGCTTTAAAATTTTAGTGTTATTCAGAACAACATATATTAGAGAGAACTTCATCTGTATTACCCACTTATTCATTCATACTTTTTTTTTTTTTCCTGTTGTATCTACAACGGGCACCATGCTAGACAGGGGAGATATGAAAATAAATGGGCATTCCAGGTCACGCCCTCAACACACTGTGCCCCATCCTACTCCTAGCCTCAATTCCACAACTTTAGGGGACTCATCAGAATGAAATTCAGAGACACTCTGGCCTCAAACTGAAGAATCAAAAATTCAAGCACTGAGGCAGGCTGAGAAAAGTTGGGGCTGGGTGCTGTGGCTTATGCTTGTAATCCCAGCACTTTGGGAGGCTGAGGTGGGAGGATCACTTGAGTCCAGCCTGGCCAACATGGCAAAACCCTGTCTCTACAAAAAATACAAAAATTAGCTGGGCATGGTAACATGTGCCTGTAGTCCCAACTACTCAGGAAGCTGAGGTGGGAGAATTTCTTGAGCCCAGGAGGCAGAGTTTGCAGTGAATCAAAATCGTGCCCCTGCACTCCAGCCTGGGTGACAGAGTGAGACCCTGTTTCAAAACAAAACAAAACAAAACAAAAAAAAAAAGAAAAGAAAAGATTTTTTTTTTTAAGTACCAGATTGTTAGCAACAAGAAATTTGATATTAGGGAGTCTGAAAGGGACTGTCATTGAGGGTGGGAGCTGGAGTCAACTAAGATATGCATTAATGGATCAGTTTTACCTGAGTTCCATTCTGGTAGAGCCTTCCAGTTAGCCTGTAAATAAAACCTCCCATTTGTGTGAGAGGAAAGTCAGCCCCACCTGGCAGGAAAGCTCATGCCTGCTTGCATCAGAGGACACAGGGAACACAGCTTCATCATGCTGGCAATCTCATCAACAGCCTGAGGATGTTATAAAACATCAGACTAAATCCTAAGAATGTGTATCAATGCATACTCCCCAGTCTATACACAGCTTCATGTCTATTAATGGAAACTCCATTCTCCTGTGACCCAGGTTGAGTATCAGCAAGGTGGTTTTGATTCCTCTTTTTGCCACATCCCCTATGTCCTAGCAGTCACAGATTCTGGCAGCTATGACTTTTTAATATTTCCTAGGCTTAGCCCTTTCTCTCCTTTTTCCCAACCCTCTCTTTCATCATTAGTTCAGACCCTCATCATTGCACCTCAAGAATATTATGAAATGATACTAATTGGTCTCTCTAGCTCACCCCACTAAGATTCAGTTCAACCACGGTTACTTGAATAACAAGTCTAAAATGTTATTTTCATTGTGCCACCCTCCGGACAAAAAAATTTATAGTGCGCACTCATGAGATTGAAGCAGGAACTCCCTGGCTTTCTCAGTTGTGTAACATTGAACAATAACTTACTCTTTTCTAAGTCTCAGTTTTCTCACCTGTTACAAGGGAACAATCACAGGTTGTAAGTAAAAATACGCCAGGCACAGTGGCTCACACCTGAATCCCAGCACTTTGGGAGACCGAGGTGGGCGGATCATTTAAGGTTAGGAGTTCAAGCCTGGCCAACATAGTAAAACCCTCTCTCTACTAAAAATACAAAAATTAGCCATGTGTGGTGGTGCATGCATGTAATCCCAGATACTTGAGAGACTGAGGTAGGAGGATCACTTGAACCTGGGAGGTGGAGGTTGCAGTGAGCCAAGATGGTGCCACAGCACTCCAGCCTGGAAGACAGAGCCAGATTCATCTCTAAATAAATAAAGTATCAGCTTCAATGGGTTGTGAAACTTAAATGAGATACTATGCATGTAAAATACTTAGCACAGTTCCTATAATACAGTAAGTACTCAATAATCATTACCCTGTTAATAATTGAAAATAGCTTAGTTGGCAGGAAAAGGAAGAAGAGAAATAGTGTAGTGGCTACAGAGGCTAAAGAAAGATGTGATTTATTTCAAAACTAGGGAAGTCTGTCAGGTTTTAAAGTCCAGTTGAAAGACTCCAAGAAGATGAGAGAATTTCATATTGGGGGTAGAATTTAGGACATAGGGCCAGTGGTAAATCTTGGAAAGGCTATATTATATTAGACTGGGAGGCAGAGGGGGAGGATTTTTATTAAGATCTTAATAAAATTGAGATCTTACCATACAATCGAGATCTTAAAACCTCAAATCTTTAGAGGTTCTGCTCAAATTTTTTTTTTTTTTTTGAGGCAGAGTCTCATTCTGTTTCCCAGGCTCCTGGAATACAATAGCACAATCTCAGCTAACTGCAACCTCTACCTTCCAGGCTCAAGCAGTTCTCTGCCTCAGCCTCCCAAGTAGCTGGGATAACAAATACCTGACTAATTTTTGTATTTTTAGTAAAGACAAGGTTACACCATCTTGGCCAGGCTGGTCTTGAACTCCTGACCTCATGATCCACCCGCCTTGGCCTCCCAAAGTGCTGGGATTATAGGCGTGAGCCACCGCACCCAGCCTCAAACTGTGTTAACTGCAGAAATCCACTGGAAATGTATTACAGTGACTAAGAGCTTTTACCATGTCAAAGGCACGTGCTACTCTGCCTAGATAATTTTTGTATTTTTAGTAGAGAGAGGGTTTTGCCATGTTGGTCAGGCTGGACTCAAGTGATCCTCCCACCTCGGCCTTCCAAAGTGCTGGGATTACAAGCATAAGCCACGGCACCCAGCCCCAACTTTTCCCAGCCTGCCTTAGTGCTTGAATTTTCAATTCTTTAGTTTGAGGTCAGAGTGTCTCTGAATTTCATTCTGATGAGTCCCCTGAAGTTGCAGAATTGAAGCCAGAAATAGGGTGGGGTGCAGTGCGTTGAGGGAGTGACCTGGACTCAGACTGCCTGAGTTGTGGTATAGATTTTGCCTCTCTTACTTATTAAGCAAACTTAAGCAAATGACTTAAACTCCCTGAGCCCAGTGGCTTCTTCATAAAAAGGGCATAGTTTGGGAACCACACTACAGAATTGTTTTTGAGAAGTCATTGAATTAATGTATGCATAGAATGCTCATTAACCTGCTTTGACACGGTAAGAGGTCAACATGGTTGGCTGCTATAAATTATATATAATTCCCTACATTATAGCCAGAGGTCTATTAATCATTCAGCAGTGCTTCTCAAAGTGTGGTCCAGAGACCCTTCAAGGTCCCTGAGGCTCTTTAAGGAGGCAGTCCATGAGATTTAAACTATTTTCTTACTAACACTAACATGTTATTTGCCTTTTTTACTCATAGTCTCCTATGAGTATATAATGGTGTTCTCCAGGGGTTTTGTGATGTGTGATATCACAATAAATTGAAACAGTATAAATATTCAGCTTTTTACTATTAAGTCATACATTAAAGAGTTTTGCAAAAAAAATTTTTTTTAATTAGGCTGGGCGCAGTGGCTCATACCTGTAATGCCAGCATGTTGAGAAGAAGCAGGCAGATCACTTGAGGTCAGGAGTTCAAGACCAGCCTGGCCAACATGGTGAAATCCCATCTCTACTAAAAAAAATACAAAAATTAGCCAGGTGTAGTGGTGCACACCTGTAATCCTAGCTACTCTGGAGGCTGAAGCATGAGAATCACTTGAACCTGGGAGGTAGAGGTTGCAGTGAGCCAAGATCAGGCCACTGCACTCTAGCCTAGGTGACAGAGGAAGACACTTTCTCAAAAAATAAGCTAAATAATACCATTTTTCTCATGAAATAGTTCATTGTTTTGGAAAATATTTGTCATAAGAGATATTTATGTTGAGTAATAGATTTCTCATTTTACATAATATTTTTTAAATGTCTCCCTTTTTGTTTCTGTAACTGTTAATGTCAATAGATATAACTCATATAAACAAAACCTCTTGGGCTTCCTCAATAATTTTGAGAGTGTAAAGAGCTCCTGAGACCAAAAAGTTTAGGTGACTGTCATAAAGTATTGCTCAGATAAAATCAAGATTAAAGCTAAATCTATCCTGTGAGTATAAAGTTTTTTCATCTCTGGCTAAAGGTCAGAGCTGGATTAATATAAAGACTTTCTTGACCAGGCACGGTGGCTCACGCCTGTAATCCCAGCACTTTGGGAGGCTGAGGCAGGTGGATCACGAGGTCAGGAGTTCAAGACCAGACTAGCCAACATTTTAATAAAAACCCTGTCTCTATTAAAAATACAAAAATTACCTGGGCATGGTGGCGGGCGCCTGTAATCCAGCTACTCAGGAAGCTGAGGCAGGAGAATAATTTGAACCTGGGAGGTAGAAGTTGCAGTGACCTGAGATTGTGCCATTGCACTCCAGCCTGGGCAACAGTGGGAGACTTCATCTCAAAAAAAAAGAAAGAAATACTTTCTCTACAGAGTTTGGAACTCTGACCCTATCTCCTAATTTTTAAGCACAGTGCATTTATATTTTCCTGACAAAGGTGACCTCGGGTTCCTAAAGTTGCCATTAGATGTTAGACTAGTGGCCTCACTCTAGCACACAGCAGGGAAGTACATAAGAAGCCTCCCTGCTCTGAAAACGTGTTTTGTTAACAGCTAAACAGCTGATGCAGTCCAAAAGCTCATCTATATCAGCCTGTCTTAGGCTGGTGGCTTGTCTCAACAATTACTCATTCATCTGTGTTTAAAGATGAAATTACTTTGGTTTTAGTGGCTAATCCATCTAACTTATAAATCCATATTATCTTTTGTAGCAAAGTTGTGGAGGAAATTGTGAATACTGGTATCACAGTTATTAAGGATGAGAAGACCAGTGTGGCCCAACTGATGAGGGAAAAAGAACATGAAATGAACATCTTCTATGGCATGGCTCAGAGGCAGAGGCAAGAAGAGGAGGTACAGGAGTTGCTTCAAGAAGCAGAGAAAACACATCAGGCCACTCTTGACAATGTGATGGGTAAACTGGCTGACACCCAGGAGGAGCTGCTGTTCCTAGCAAAACAGCTGGGACTCATGACAAATTGGAAAGATTTCCTAGAGGAGGAATTACAGGAAACCAGGATGGCATTTCAAAAATACATCAATTATACCTTTCCTAAGCTTTCACCAGGACATGCAGATTTTATTCTGCCAGAAAGAAAGAAAACACCTTCTAATCTTGTTATTAAGGAGGATGAAACAACTCTCAATTAGAAGTCTTGAATTGAAATTTCACTACAGAAGACATCATTCCAGACTAAATAAATTTACTGAGAAACCATTCACTGATTCCCCAGCCTTGTGCAGGGTACTGTTGGGCTGTAAGAATTTTCATGGAAAACCAAAATATTAAAAAGCACAGTCCAGGTTATAGTGAGCCAAGTCTGAAAAGAAAAAACAGGGAGAGGGAGCAAACTGATTAAGACAGGAAAGATTTCTTGGATGAAGCCTAAACACACTTCTGTATCTGTCTTTATTCATTTCTACATCAGACATATAATTAATTATTTCACTATGTTTTGCCATAGAAAACAAGTAAAGGGATGTGTTCTCAGGTTGTTCCTGTTCTGGGCAGGTGTGCTAAGTTCCAGTAAAGAGATTATCATTTAATGAATGCAGTAGCATGGTGAATTTAACAATTTCTCTCAAATTCAGTAGGATACAATTTAAATTCTAGGACTCCCATTTAAAGTAATTCAGGAAGGACTTGCTACCCACACAACAGGTGGGTTGGTTGCTTGGTGGGTGTTAACCCAATGACCACAATTAAGGAAGAATTACCAAGGGGATTTTATTACTTGTAAGGAGTAAGGAGAACACCAGGGATAGTCCCCAAAGCAGTGTCTATCTGAACTGGAGGCTGGGTCAGGTTTTCCAAACATAGGGTAATGAGGCATGATCTGATTGGATCTTGCAATGATGTGATGTCAGGAGGCAGGATCTAGCTGGATCCTGCCATGGGGTGATGCCAGGGCTCAGTCCAGTTGTATTCTAGATTCTGCCATGCAATGTCCACTTCTTTAATTCAGTTTCCACTTCTCAGTCTGAGCAATTAGGTTCCCTGTGTGGTTGAATGCTTGGTCCATCTGGGCATGCTCAGGTTACATGACCTGAGGGTCCATGGCAACTGAAAAACACCACACTACTTTGTTACATAAAAGTTGGGCCAGATTGGTCTGATAGGGCTAGACTCACTTATATTTGCCAGTTGTAAAAGAAAAAAAGATGGGAGATATTTCTCAAATCCACTTCTCTGAGAACTCAGAGGCTAGGATTTTTAAAGGATAATTTGGCAGGCAGGGAGCTGGGGAATGGGTGCTACTGATTGGTTGGGGATGAAATCACAGGAGTGTTGGAACTGTCATCGCATGCAGAGAATCTGAGTCACAAAGCACAAGGTGTTGGGCAGTTTAGTAATCACTGGACCCTTATGTTACCAAGATTACCAAAAAGTCACTCTGATGGTTTCTTTATGCAACTCTGATTCCATCTGACTTATTTAAAGCTTGTGTGTTTTAGGCCAGGTGTGGTGGCTCATACCTGTAATCCCAGTGCTTTAGGAGGCTGAAGTGGGCAGACTGCTTGAGCCCAAGAGTTCAAGACTAGCCTGGGTGATGTGCTGAAACCTGTCTTTACAAAAAGTACAAAAAACTTACTGAGTGTGGTGATGCACACCTGTAGTCCCAGCTGCTCTAGAGGCTGAGGTGGGAGGATTGATTGAACCTGGGAGGTTGAGGCTGCAGTGAGTCATGATCCTGCCACTGCACTCCAGCTTGGGTATCTGTAATAGTCTGTTTTCACGCTGCTGATAAAGACATACCCAAGACTGGGTAATTTATAAAGAAAAAAAAGGTTTCATGGACTCACAGTTCCACATGGCTGGGGAGGCCTCACAATCATAGCAGAAGCCAAAAGACACATCTTACATGGCAGCAGATAAGAGAGAACTGAGAGAACCAAGTAAAAGGGGTTTCCCCTATAAAACCAGCAGATCTCATGAGACTTATTCACCAGGAGAACAGTATGGGGGAAACTGCCCCCCTGATTCAATTGTCTCCCACTGGGTCCCTCCCACAACACATGGGAATTATGGGAGCTACAATTCAAGGTGAGACTTGGATAGGGACAGAGCCAAACCATATCGTTCTGCCCTTGGCCCCTCCCAAATCTCATCCTCACATTTCAAAACCGATCATGCCTTTACAACAATCCCCCAAAGTCTTTTTTTTTTTTTTTTGCCAATCAGTTTGAGCAATCCCCCAAAGTCTTAACTCATTTCAGCATTAACGCAAAAGTCCACAGTCCAAAACCTCATCTGAGACAAAGTCCATTCTGCCAATAAGCCCAAAAAATCAAAAGCAAGTTAGTTACTTCCTAGGTACAATGGGGGTACAGGCATTGGGTAAATACAGCCATTCCACATGGGAGAAATGAGCCAAAACAAAGGGGTTATAGGCTCCATGCAAGTCCAAAATCCAGCAGGGCAGTCAAATCTTAAAGCTCCAAAATCATCTTCTTTGACTCCATGTCTCACATCCAGGTCACACTGATGCAAGAGGTGGGATCCCATGGCCTTGGGCAGTTCAGCCCCTGTGGCTTTGCAGGGTAAAGCCACCCCACCCCCACCGCCAGCTGCTTTCACAGGCTGGTGTTGAGCATCTGCAGCTTTTCCAGGTGCAAGGTGCAAGCTCTCGGTGGATCTACCATTCTGGGGTCTGGAGGATGGTGGCCCTCTTCTCACAGCTCCACTGGTCAGTGCCCCAGTGGGGACTCTGTGTGGGGGCTTCAGCCCCTCATTTCCCTTCTGCACTGCCCTCACAGAGGTTCTCCATGAGGTTCTTGCCCCTGCTGCAGACTTTTGACTGGACATCCAGGTGTTTCCATACATCCTCTGAAATCTAGACGGAGTTTTCCAGACCTCAGTTCTTGATTTCTGTGCACCTGCAGACTCAACACTATGTGAAATCTCCCAGGGCTTGGGGCTTGCATCCTCTGAAGCCAGGGCCTGAGCTGTACCTTGGCCCCTTTTAGCCATGGCTGGAGTGGCTGGGAAGCAAGGCACCAAGTCCCTAGGCTGCACGGAGCAGGGGGGACTCTGGGCCCAGACCACAAAACCGTGTTTTCCTCCTAGAACTCTATACCTGTGATGGGAGGGGCTCCACAAAGGTCTCTCATGCCAGATGCCCTGGAAATATTTTCTCCATTGTCTTGGCAATTAACAGTTGGTTCCTTGTTATTTATGTGAATTTCTGTAGCAGGCCTGAATTTCTTCTCAGAAAATGTGATTTTCTTTTCCATTACATGGTCAGGCTGCAAATTTTCCAAACTTTTATGCTCCGTTTCCCTTTAAAAACTGAATGCTTTTAACAGCACACAAGTCACCCCTTGAATGCTTTGCTGCTTAGAAATTTCTTCCACCAGATACCCTAAATCATTTCTGTCAAGTTAAAAGTTCCACAGATCTCTATAGGGCAGGGGCAAAATGCCAACAGTCTCTTTGCTAAAACATAGTTTTACTCCAGTTCCCAACAAGTTCCTCATCTCCATCTGAGACCATCTCAGCTTGGATTTCATTGTCCATATCATTATCAGTATTTTGGTTAATTCAGCAAGTTTCTAGGATGTAGAGTAGCTGGCACTACCTGAAATCTTGAGAACAAAACATGTGAGAACTGGGCAAATTTGTCTTTGACATTGTAGAATCCACTTTGTATGCTGAAATACAATTTTGAATCAAGCCATTTCTTCACTAATGTGGCGAGGACTCAGCACTAAGCAAGAATATCAGTTAGGCCAGAAGGCTACTGATTCTAAGTGTTAGCACCCACCAGTATAGCATAGTATCAGTTACTAAGTGGAGCTGCCCATTATTGTTGTTTCTCCAGCCCTCAAACATAATGATACGGTTTGGCTCTGTGTCCCCACCCAAATATCACCTTGAATTGTAAAAATCCCAACATGGTCGTAGGAGGGCCCCAGTGGTAGGTAATTGAATCATGGGGGTAGGTTTTTCCCAAGCTATTCCTGTGATAGTGAATAAGTCTCATGATATCTGATGGTTTATGAAGGGGAGTTATTTCCTCTATTGGTTCAGGACAATAGCTTTGTACCTGACAAAATACTATCTCGGGTTCTTTGGAGTACAAAGACAATTCCAGAATCTTTGGGAAATATTAAAAGAAAAACCCTATGATTGTGGTCACCAGTTTCAGGGGTCTCAGGGTCAAGGTCAACCTAGAAATTTGAGATTTTGTTTTCCATTTTATCCCTTGATTTCTGGATAATTAAAAAGTAATTTAGTATCCTTAATTACAAATAAGAAATGAAAGAAATAAAAGAGGTTATCATTGAAATGATTAACTGAAATAAAAGAATAAAAGATGTCCTTTTATGTTAATATGGTTTTGTAGGCCTATTGGGGCTCAACAAAAGACAATTATTTGCATACCATCATCATGATTTTCACCTATGAACCCATTTTATATTGCATGCCATATAACCTGGAAGTCATATTTCCAGTATTTACTCAAGAGAAATTAAAACATATGTCCATACAAGGACTTGTGAACAAATGTTCATGGCAGCCTTATTTATAATTGTCCCAAATTGGAAAAAGCCCAAATGCTTATCAATTGGTGAATAAATTGTGGCACACCCATGCAATGAAATATTACTCATCCATAAAAGGGAATAACAGGCTGAGTCTGGAGGATTGCTTGTGGCCAGGAGTTAAGACCAGCGTTGGCAATAGAGTGAGTCCCTATCTCTACTGAAAAAAACAATTTATACAAATTAACTAGATGTGGTGCATGCCTGTAGTCTTAGCTAGTTCAGAGGCTAAGGCAGGAGAATTGCTTGAGCCCAGGAGTTTGAGGCTGCAGTGGGAGCTATGATTGTGCCATTGCACTGCAACCTGAGCAACAGAGCAAGACCCTGTCTCTTTTTAAAAAATCAATAACATACTGATACATGTGACAATGTCATAAACCTCAAAAGCATTATGTAAATTAAAAAAATTCATCCTCAAAAGGCTACTACTATATGATTCAATTAACATGAAATTTTAGAAGATACAAAACTCACATGACAGAAAAGAGACCAATGGGTGGTCACTAAGAGCCAGAGAGTATGGGAGGGAGAAGCCGACGGAAAGGGCATGAGGAATTTTCCACAATGACAGAAATGTTCTATATTATGACTTCAGTGATGATTACATTATTGTATATTTTTCTTTTAAGATGTATCCAATTGTGCACTCAATTATTAGTAAATTTTATGTCTATTAAACCTAATGAAACTGATTTCAAAAAATCATTCATAGGCAGAGCACGGTGGCTCATGTCTGTAATCCCAGCACTTTGGGAGGCTGAGGCAGGTGGATCACCTGAGGTCAGGAGTTCGAGACCAGCCTGGCCAATGTGGTGAAACTCTGTCTCTACTAAAAATACAAAAATTAGCCAGGCATGATGGTGCATGCTTGTAATCTCAGCTACTTGGGAGGCTGAGGCAGGAGAATCGCTTGAACCTGGGAGGTGGAGTTTACAGTGAGCTGAGATCACACCACTGTACTCCAGCCTGGGCTGGAAAATAATTCAGAGACAAAACAGAAA